CTTTCCCTATTCAGTTCAGGAACATGTCAAAACCGCACATCATTCTGTAAGGTGACTTCTGAGTCGACTCAAAAGTCAGGGTGTATGGCAGCGAGATCTAGGAACATGTCAAGGGCGTTTATCGTGCCTTGTAGCGTTGTATAAGGCCATGGATGACCTTGGTTGCATTGTTACCCTTTCTTCATATTTCTAATTCTTTCTCCTCTGTCATCCCGGTGAGTGTTTTGCATATGTTAACGTGGTTACCGCTGCATGCTTTCTTCGTTCCCACAATTTTTTTGCTCTTATCAGGTCTTGTCTCAACACTGTATATACGAAGCAGGGAAGAAGAAAAAGACCTTTGAGTACTATACCGAGCAGGTAATATTGCCTTTTCATCTAATATGATGGTTTTGTACAGAATAAGTAGGTAAACACCATCATTTGAAGGCGAGTTTCCCTGTTTCCGACTGATTTTGGAGAGACTTCAAGAACCTCTCTTAGATAGCCGACAAGTCATGCATGAGTAGATAAAGGACGTGTGAATGATACTCTTCTTCGTTCAAATGGGCATGCTTCATAGGGTTGACCTATTTTGACTATCTTCCCCCACTTTTTCCCACCAGGAACATTTCTCTCACATTTCTCTCACATGTATTTCACCAGGGCACTGACAGGCCAGTTCATTCCGGTGCCCGCATGCAGTCGGAAGTGACTCATTGTCTTAGAGAGACTCAGGTGGTGGGCCCAAAACTTGTCATGTTTTCCCCCTATCCTCTTCTCCCTCCCTCCCTCCCTCCCTCCCTCCCCCCCTCCCTCCCTCCCCCCCCTCCCTCCCTCCCTCCCTCCCTCCCTCCCTCCCCCCCTCCCTCCCTCCCTCCCTCCCTCCCTCCCTCCCTCCCTCCCTCCCTCCCCCCCTCCCTCCCCCCTCCCTCCCCCCCCCCTCCCTCCCCCCCTCCCTCCTTCACTCCCTCCCTCCCTCCCTCCCTCCCTCCCTCCCTCGCTCGCTCTCTCCCTCCCTCCCTCCCTCCCTCCCTCCCTCCCTCCCTCCCTCCCTCCCTCCCTCCCTCCCTCCCTCCCTCCCTCCCTCCCTCCCTCCCTCCCTCCCTCCCTCCCTCCCTCCCTCCCTCCCCCCCTCCCTCCCCCCCTCCCTCCCCCCCCTCCCTCCCTCCCTCACTCCCTCCCTCCCTCCCTCCCTCCCTCACTCACTCACTCACTCACGCACTCACTTACCAGGCGCCTGACAGGCCAGCCCCTGAGAGTGGCAGCCTCAAGTCTCAGGGCGACTTTTTTCTGAACGGTGCGCAGAGCAAGGAGCAGGGCAGCGAGGGGGTGTTTGACCCTGGCCGCGTGTACAGCTGTGATTGGTCGCTTTGGAAGCAGTGCAGCCCTGAGGCGGTTGTGGCTTGCGCTGGCTGGCATGACATGCCTCTGCCGGCAGACCTGTAGTGTTGACTGGGTTGGGAGGAACGTGCCTCTGCCAGCAGATGTGTAGAGTTTGACTCTCGTTGACTTGAATTGACTGAATGGCTGGCAGGGTGTTCCTCTGCCAGCAGATGTATAGAGCTTGACTCTTGTTGACCTGTGTTGACTGTCTCAGGTAGCAGATGTGCCAGCTGGCAGGACGTGGCACTTCCGGCAGACGTGTAGTGGTGATGGTTCATGGCGTATGGTTGACTCTTGTTGACTTGCGTTGACTGGATGGTTGACAGAATGGGCTGGCTGGCAGATGCTTCCCTGCCAGCAGATTTCTAGAGTGACGGTTGATGGCTGGTTGACTGTCAGTTACAGAAACAGAAGCATGTTGAAAGGAAGTGAGGAGGCTTCATCTTGTTGTCTGGTGTTGATTTTCAAGTAGATTCAGCTTTTTCAAGTAGTTCCAGCTTTTTCAAGCATCAATTTGTACAGTGCCCTAGATCTTGTGGTGGAATCTGAATTGTGCAGCAATAGCTTGAGGGGAAGGGTGTCAAATGTTGTAGCCTATAGTGAGGTTTGTCTTAGGGGGTACAGAAGTTAGGGTTTGTTATATGTACCCCAACCAACATCAATGGCATCATCCATTCCTCATTTTGACATGGTATCAGCTAGGTTAGGATCCTGTGGGATCCCGTTCCTCCGTTCTCCGTTCGTACCTCCCGAGCCTGACCCTACCTCTCGTTCGTACCAGTTCCGTTGTTACCGCGCCTAGTACCGAGCCTAGCGCCCTTTCCCCCCGTCGCTTAGCGCCCTTTCTCCCCGTTACCTAGCGCCCTTTCCCCCCCCCCCCCCCCCCCGTCGCGTCGCCCTGTCCCGTCGCGTCGCGCCCTTTCCCCCCGTCGCGTCGCGCCCTTTCCCCCCGTCGCGTCGCGCCCGTTCCCCCCGTCGCGTCGTGCCCGCCCGTTCCCCCCCGTCGCGTCGTGCCCGCCCGTTCCCCCCCCGTCCCGTCGCCCTGTCCCGTCGCGTCGCCCTGCCCCGTCGCGTCGCCCTGCCCCGTCCCGTCGCCCTGTCCCGTCCCATCGCCCTGCCCCGTCGCGTCGCCCTGCCCCGTCGCGTCGCTCCCGCCCTTTCTCCCGTCCCGTCGCCCTGCCCTACGCCCTAGCCCGTCGCCCTACTCTAAGCCCTGGCCCGTCGCCCTACCCTAAGCCCTGCCCCGTCGCCCTTCCCTCCGCCCTGGCCCGTCGCCCTTCCCTACGCCCTGGCCCGTCGCCCTACCCTAAGCCCTGGCCCGTTGCCCTACCCTACGCCCTAGCCGGTTGCCCTACCCTACGCCCTGGCCCGTCGCCCTAGCCCGCTCTTCCGCTGCGACTGAGTCCTCTTCCTCCCGGTTGTTACTCGCCTGTTCGTTTGCGTTAGTTCTCACTATGGCGACTCCGCGAGTTCTTCGTTTCGACGCTGACGGTAGACCCCTTGACTTTTCCGTCTGGCTTCTTCGCGCTCGCCGTCTGTTAGAGAGTCTGGTCCAGGGGGGCGAGACCCTCTGGTCGCACGCTACTGGTGACCTTCCCGAGCCCCCCGAGCCTACAGCTTTAGGCCCTGCCCCTGACGACACTACTACGGCTCGCTTTGCCCGTCAGCGCGCTGACCGGACGGCTTGGACGTCGCGTGACGCTGCGGCCTGCATCGCACTCAGCAGCCTCCTCCCTGAGTCCGAGGAGGTCCACTTTACTCAGGTTCGCACCGCTGCTGCGTACCTCACTGCGATTAAGGCCCGCTACTCTACTCCCGCTACTGTCTCTCTTGGCCGTCTTTTCCTCCCGTTCCTGTTTCCTGATCTCGCCTCGTTTGAGCGCTCTGCTGACTTGATCGCTCACCTCCGCTCGCTCGACGCTAGTTACCGCGCTGCTTGCACTGAGGCACAGCTTGCACCGCTTCCTCCCCCCATGGCGATTACTGTCTATTTCATCGCCACTAGCCTCCCTGACCGCCTTGCCTCCGTTCGTGATGCGCTTCTGCTGAAGCACCCTAGTGAGCTGACTATCGAGGTCCTTGAGTCTGCACTCAAGGACGTCGAGAGCAACCTTCGTTCGGTAGCTGCCGCCTCTGGTACTGTGTCCCCCCCACTCTTCCACGGGTGCACAGTCCCGCAGTTACCCACCTTCACTGCCTCTCTTGCCACTGCCGCTACTGACGCGACTGCGGCTGCTGTTACGACTGCGTCGCGGTCCCGCGGCAGGGGGGGCAAGAAAGGTGGTCCTGGTGGAGGTGGAGGCGGAGGTAGCGGAGGTAGTGGGGGTGCTGTTGCGACTGGCGGTGGTGGGAGTGCAGCGTCTGGAGAGACCCCTCGTGCAGCGGCTGGTGACTCCACTGCACCTGCTGGTGGCGGCGACCCCCGAGCTCGTCAGTCGCCTCCTGTACTCCCGGCCCCGCTAGGTGGAGCAGCGGCGTGGTACCAGGCTCAGCGGCAGCAGCACCTTCAGCAGCAGCAGCAGCCCCTTTCCTCCCAGCAGCCTCAGCAGCAGCAGCGTCAGCAGCTGGCTCCGGGGTCGGGGCTGCGTCAGCCCCAGCGCGGTACTGCTTACCCTCCCTGCCCCTACCAGGTTCTGACAGGTCCTCGTCGGGGCCACCCTTGTGGCCGCTTTCACCCCCCTGGTCAGTGCTTTGCTCAGCTCACTGACACGGTCCGGTTGGCCTACGGGGTTGGCGGTCCTGCTCCTGACTGGCTTCCTCTGGTTCAGCGCTACGGCTCCGCTCTGTGGGGCATGTCTGCTGAGCAGTTAGTTGATCTGATTAGTGCTCCTCATGCTATGTATGCTGTTGTTGACTCTAGTGTTTCTGACTCTGTTTACTCTGGTGTTGTTAGCTTAGGTGCTAGTCTTGCTCAGTTGCCTGTTGCTAGTGTAGGTTCTTGTGTAGACTCTAGACCAGCGACTACCTCAGAGGACGCTTCGCTGTCGTTCACGCTGGACTCTGGAGCCTCCCACTGCTTCTTCCGGGACAGCACGACACTTACACCACTTCTTGCGCCTGTTTCTGTTGCGTTGGCTGATCCCACTACGGGACCAGTCACTGCACGTCACACTACCACTTTACCGTGTCCTGCTGCTCCCTCCGGGTCTCTCACTGGGTTTCACGTCCCCTCGTTCTCCCGGAACTTGGTGGGCGTGCGACCCCTCGTGAGTCAGCACGTGGGTGTGTGGTTTGAGCCTTCTGGAGAGACTGCGGTGTGTGTTGACGGAGACTCTTACCAGCCTCTTGCTACCTTTACTGCTGAGCCGGGCTCGGGTCTCTACACTCTTCACACTGGCCCGCGTGCGCCGCAGCAGCAGCCGCAGCAGCAGCAGCAGCCGTAGCCGCAGCAGCAGCAGCAGCAGCAGCACCAGCGGCCGCACCAGCAGCCCCCCCTACTGCCACTGCCCCCGGTCCCCCCCCCCGTTCGGGTCCCCGCGTCTCACCAGGTTGCTTCGTCCCCCCAGGTGTCTGTGTCGTGTCTGGTTCCTACGTCTGTTCCAGTCGCTGCGTCGTGCTCCTGCCGGTCGCTTGCCCACCCCACCGTTCTGTGGCACCACCGGATGGGGCACCCGTCCCTTCCTCGTCTGCGCGCTATGTCCAGTCAGCGTCTTGTCCTAGGCCTCCCACGTGTCTTGCCGTCGCTGCCGCCTTCGCTTGCGCCGCCGTGTGGTCCCTGCGTCGAGGGTCGGCTGCGCGCCACCCCTCACTCCTCCTCCCTACGTCCGGCCACCGAGCCTTTTGAGACGCTTCACTTGGAAGTCTGGGGCCCCGCCCCTCGTCTAGGCCCTGAGCGTGAGCGTTACTTTCTGGTGGTCGTTGACGACTTCTTCCGCTACACCACAGTGTTCCCTCTGGCGAAGAAGTCTGAGGTGACTTCTACGCTGATCAGGTGGTTGCTCACCACCAAGGACACTCGTGGTCGTCGTGTCAGCTGTCTCCACTCCGACCGTGGGGGTGAGTTTCGCTCCGGCATTCTCGCTGGATTCTGTCGCGAGCAGGGCATTCGTCAGTCCTGGACGCTTCCAGAGTCCCCACAGCAGAATGGGGTTGCTGAGCGCCGCATAGGCCTGGTCATGGAGATCGCCCGCACCTCCTTGACTCACGCCTGTGCCCCCCATTTTCTGTGGCCCTACGCGGTCAGGTACGCCGCGCACCAGCTGAACCTCTGGCCACGTGTCTCTCGACCAGAGGTGTCACCGACCAGTCTTTGGACAGGGTCCCCTGGTGTTGCGTCGCGGTTTCGCGTCTGGGGGTGCTTGGCTCTTGTCCGCGACACCTCCGCGGACAAGCTCTCGCCTCGTGCCGTCCCCTGTGTCTTCCTTGGTTTTCCTGAGGACTCCTCTGACTTCACCTTTTACCACCCTCCCTCTCACCGGTTCTTTGACTCCCGTGACGTCCGTTTCGAGGAGTCCACTCCGTACTACGTCAGGTACCCCAGTCGAGGTCTCCCGGTTCCTCCTCCCCCCTTCTTCCTGACTGCAGCCCCCCCTCCTGCTCCCCCGGTACAGCCTCCCCCCCCTGGTCCAGCCCCGTCAGGTGTGTCCCAGGCTACCCCTCCTCCTTCGGTAGCCCCTCCGGTACAGCCTCCCTCCCCACAGTCCTCCTCGCAGCGTGCCGCTGGTGCTAGCTCTCGAGAGGTTGGTGCGGCGCCTGTTCCTGTACCGGTTTCTGGTTCTGGGGGTGCTGGAGTTGGAGCTGGAGTTGGTGCTGGAGTTGGCACTGGAGTTTTTGGTTCTGGGGGTGCTGGAGTTGGAGCTGGAGTTGGAGCTGGAGTTTCTGGTTCTGGAGTTGGAGCTGTCCCGGTGGGTGCAGAGGACTCTTGTCGTCCGGGAGCTGGTGCTGGTCGCGCGGCCACTGGGGGTGCTGCGTCTGGGGGTGAGGGTGCGCCTCCTTCGGGTTCAGGTGAGCCTGGGTCTGGAGCTGGTGTTAGTGCTGCCTCTGGGGGTGGTGCGCCTAGTTCTTCTGAGGTGGACTCTGGAGCTGCCGCTGCTTCGGACACTACTCCACCCCCCCACCCCTACCCGACTAGGTACCAGGCTCGTGTTCGCCGTGCCCGTGACGAGCAGCTGGCGTTGGAGAGAGAGGAGAGGGAGTTACAGCGGCTGGAGGAGCAGCAGCAGCAGCTGGACCCGCAGGAGCAGCAGTCCCAGCAGCAGCCGCGTCCGCAGCAGCAGCAGTCGCAGCCGCAGCAGCAGCATCCACTTCCTCCTCCTGTCTCGGGTCTTCGGACCCTTGGTCTCCCCTCCCCTTCTCCTCCCTCCTCCGTCTCTCCTCATGTCTACGGTCCCACATTTCCTCCTCCTGACTCCTCCCCCTGCTGTTTTTCCCAGTTCTCCGCCTTTGTCCTCTCCTCCTCCGTCTCGTTCTTGGGCTACTCGTCGCTCCCCTCGTGCTCGTCCCTCGTCTCCTGTTCCCTTCACTGACCTTCGTACTGCCTTCCTTCTTTCTAGTCCACCTCGTCTGTCTCTGTACTTCCGTCTCCTCCTGAGTCGGCCCTCACTGTGTCGCTCCCTACTCCTGTCACTGACTACTACCGCATGTACCGTCCTGTTCTCTCTCGTGTTTCTCGCCTCTCTTGTTACTCACCCTCGTATCTCTGTGTCCTCTGTGTCCGCTCTTACTGCCGCGGTTACTGACTTTGCCTCTACCCGCCGCCTTGACTACGCCACCACGCTTGTGACTGCTCCTCCTACCAGTCCTCTGGTCGTCGGGGGTGTGTCTGCCCTTGGCTGTGACGCCCTAGAGGACAGGCAGTTTGAGCTAGAGTTCCTGGCGGCCGCTTCCCCTCATCTCTGTGCCATGCTCCTCGCCCCTGAGGGTGACCCCGACGCCCTTGACATTCCGACTCCTCGCACTTACGCTGAGGCAGTGTCAGGGCCTTGGGCCTCTCAGTGGAGAGCTGCCATGGACGCAGAGATGGCCTCCTACAGATCCACAGGCACCTACGTCGATGAGGTTCCCCCCCCTGGGGCGAACGTAGTCGACGGCATGTGGATCTACAGGGTGAAGCGACCACCGGGATCTCCCCCGGTCTTCAAGGCGCGCTACGTGGCTAGAGGTTTCAGTCAGCGCGAGGGAGTTGACTTCTTTCAGACCTTCGCACCTACCCCGAAGATGACCACTCTTCGGGTGTTACTACACGTAGCAGCACAGCGAGACTACGAGTTACACTCTCTCGACTTCTCCACTGCTTTCCTTCAGGGCAGTCTACACGAGGAGGTCTGGTTGCGTCGTCCCTCGGCCTTCACTGGCACTTTCCCTCCTGGGACCCAGTGGAGGCTGAGGCGACCTGTTTACGGTCTTCGCCAGGCCCCTCGTGAGTGGCACGACACTCTGCGTTCTACCCTCTCTGACCTTGGGTTCCAGCCGTCTTCTGCCGACCCGTCGCTGTTCGTTCGTCGTGGCTCCACACCGTTCTTTGTTCTGGTCTACGTCGACGACCTCGTTTTCGCCACTCCGGACAGGGTTGCTTTGGCAGACGTGAAGTCCGAACTGCAGAAGAGACACACGTGCACTGATCTTGGTGAGCTGCGCCACTACCTTGGCCTGCAGATCACCAGGGACAGAGCCGCTCGCACCATTACACTCTCACAGTCACACATGGTGCAGCAGGTCCTTCAGCGGTTTGGGCTTCAGCACTCCACCGTACAGCGCACACCTCTCGCTGTTGACCACAGACTCACTGGTCCCTTTCCTGACGAGCTGTTTGAGCCTAGTGGTCCCTACGCAGAGCTTGTGGGTTGCCTCATGTACCTGATGACTTGTACTCGCCCGGACCTCGCCTTCCCTCTCAGCATCCTTGCGCGCTTTGTTGCGCCAGGGAGACACCGTCCTGTTCACTGGACGGCAGCTGTGAGGGTGGCGAAGTACCTAGCGACTACATCAGGCGTGGGGCTAGTTCTTGGAGGGCAGCAGTCTGTCGTACTCACTGGTCACTGTGACTCCTCTTACGCTGACGACGCTGAGACTCACAGGTCTACTCAGGGGTACTGTTTCAGTCTGGGTTCTGGAGCTGTTTCCTGGCGTTCCACGCGCTCCTCTTCTGTCTTGACCTCTACAGCTGAGGCTAAGATTTACGCTGGTGCCATGGCGGCACAGGAGTTGCGGTGGTTGACCTTCTTGCTCGCCAACCTTGGTGAGCGGCCGAGCTCTGCACCGACCTTGTTTACTGACAACAAGGCGTCGATCCTCCTCTGTCGTGAGCCGCGACTGGAGAGCAGAGTGAAGCACATTCACGTCAGGTACTTTCTTCTGCGAGAGTTGCAGAGGCGTGGACAGGCTCGCTTCGAGTTTGTGGAGTCCGAGGCCAACACTGCAGACATCTTCACCAAGGCGCTTCCGCCTCGTGACCACCAGAGGTGTTGTGTGCAGTTAGGCCTTGTTGACACAGGTTCTAGTCATGTGTAGGCTTGAGTTTATTGGCTGCTTCGTCTGTACTCTTGCTATATATACTTGTGATCTCTTGGACTGGCCTTGTGGCCACTGTTGCTTGTGCTCAGAGTGTGTGGTGACGTTGTGATCCACCCTGAGCTTTGTTTTCTTTTGGACTGGTCTTGTGACCGTACTCTTTTTGATTTTGCTAGACACCCCTCACTTAGGCTATGGGGGTGTGTCAAATGTTGTAGCCTATAGTGAGGTTTGTCTTAGGGGGTACAGAAGTTAGGGTTTGTTATATGTACTCCAACCAACATCAATGGCATCATCCATTCCTCATTTTGACAGAGGGGTGGTTGGTTACATACCACTAGTGCCAAAGAGAGACTCTTGTGCTGAACGCCCGAAGAGATGTGCCTAAAGTTGTCAACACAGTAACTGGTTGAATTTACTTCCAGCTCAGTTTCCTCAGGTTCAAATTGTGATGAGATAAGGTTGTGGTACCTTCTAAAACGGCATTGCACAAATGCACATTATAAACACGCAATTCATAGGAGACAAAGCATATACAGAGCTCATGGCGGTCGTGTTGCTGATGGCTTCTCCCTTGAGAGGGCATGTAGGGCACTATTTGACCCTAGACTCCCAAGTAGAGGTCAATAATTTCACCCAGACATTTCATAATATCACCTCCTGCTCCTCCACTCTGCGCCTTCTCTTCCGCACGTGCCAACATGTCTTCTAAAGCGGATGGAACCTCGGGAACGACGCGAACCATCAGAGAGCCAATCTCGAAAACAGTTATATTTGCGGCCGACCCTTTCTTGAGCAGGAGCTTCGCCGCGCGAAACACGCGCGCGCACCAGGCCTAATTTTATCAGTGTAAATCACCCTGATACCCTGATAATCAGGGTGGTTTTTGATGGTCACACTGATGGGCTAGGGTTTTTTTTTGTGGAGGTAGATTTACCCTGATGTGTCAGGTTTTTTTTGTAAGGCACACTGATGGCCAAGGGTTTACGGATCCCGTAACAAGTTTTACCCTGTAACGCGTACCCTACACCCCCCCTCCCCCCCGGTTCACCCACCCCCCCTTTCCCGTAACCTGGGATTCCACCAAGGCCACTGAGGCCGGAATTTTGGCCTTGACAACTCCTGTGCTGGCACACAGAGGGCCACTATTGGCCAGGTTTACAGTTTCTTTGCTGGCACCGCCACCTCCGCTAGTTGGTCTGTTTGTCAGACTTGACAACAAGGCCGGGTTGGCTGGAAACTTGGCTGAATGCAGCAACAATTCGATGCCCACTAGCCCACTGGGCACCGCGTTCCTTGCACGACTGAGGCAGGCTCCGCTGCTTGTTTGCGTGCATGTTAGGAAACAGAGGCACGAAATGACAGGGGTCATGAACACATGCGAGGTTTCCTCTCGCAACAACACAGCACTCACGCCAAGTAGAGCAACGTTGGCGGTTCTCCTACTGTCCTTAAGCAGCCATGGCTCCTGCAGAGGACAGTGACGGAGAAGCTGCTGATGAGCCATCGAAGGATGTGCCCGCACGAACAGGCCTTTATTTCCTGCGCGCGGTGCATGCGAACCCTCCGCTTGTCCTCACTCCAGGCCCGTCTTCTTGCAGCAAAGGGAAACAGAGTCTGTCACCCCCGCCTGCTTCCAATGCCGTCACGCCAGACAGTGCTCCCGCCACTGTCAGCGTGTCAGAGGTGGGCGAATCATCATCTGCAGCCTCGAAGAAGAGGCGTCGCTACGCGCAGGCCGTTCTACCGTTCGGCACGCCACCAGCGAAACCGATTCCGTCGCCCGCTCCACTCCAAGTTCCGAAGCCAGTCTCTCGTGAACTCACCGACGCCGAGAAGGCTGAAGAGAAATTTTTGAAGGCGCAGCAGCTATACATCACGCAGTGGCTGCCGAAATTTGGCTGGCTGCTGCTGGACAAGAACGCCGACGGCCTGCCCATTCTGCGATGCAGCATCTGCGTGGAGCATGGAAAAGACGATGCGAAATTCGGACGGAACGGAACGGGGGGCCGTGATCTGCAGCTAGGATCAATGCGATGCCACGAGCTGAGCGGCCGCCACGAGGAAGCGATGAAGCGGCAGCGGACGCTCATGGCGGAGATCGAGCACCAGAAGAGGATCGACGACTTCGCCAATACCGACAAGGAGGGGGCGCGGCTGACTCGTCTCATGCGCGGCGTGGAGTTTACCTGCAACAACGACGCACCGATCGCGATGTTTCAGAAGCTCATAGGCTTCCTCGCAGAGGAGGGAGTAGAGGACATACCGCTTCAGTCCTACGGCGTGTACATCACACAGTAAGCGTGTGCCAAAATAGCCAGCCCGCAACGAATGTTTCCGCATTCCATTTGTGTCTAAGCGCTTTCACCTCGGCTTGTGGCAGGTACGGATTCAACGAAATGGCCTCGACGATGGCTAAGTACCAGAAAACACAGCAGCTGCAGCATCTTCTCGCTTCACCATTCATCGGCATTACTTGCGACGAGAGCACCGATCGCGCTCGCGGCAAACATTTGATCGTGTTTGCCACCTTCCTCAAAAATGGCGTGTCCGTCACGGAATTTCTGGCGCTACTGACGGTGCACAAGTGCGACGCATCCTCGCTTTTCACTGTGCTCACAAGCCACCTGGAGTCTGTTGGGGTGGACATCAAGCGGGTTTCCGGCATCGGCACCGACGGAGCTTCTGTGATGACGGGGGAGAAGAACGGTCTGGTTAGCCGTTTGCAAGAGCACGTGCCGCATCTCGTCGGATGTCACTGCGTCGCGCATCGGTGAGCTTCGCTTAAGCGTTTCCGAGAATCATCGCATGCAATGCTGTAAAACCGTTCATCGTTAAGCTTAACTAATCTACCACTTGGATGTGTTGCAGGGAAGCACTCATGGTCAAGGATGCTGCGAAGGCTTTCCCCGACTTGAACATGATCGACGATGCAGTGCGAGCCGTGGGAGAGATCATCTGCCGTTCCAGCATTTGGTACGACAGATTCAAGGAGCTGCAACAAGAGATACACAAGACAAATCTTGAACACCAGGGAATTTTCAACGTCCGTTGGCTATCACGCGGAGATGCTATAGCGAGGCTATGCAGAGTACTTGGGGCGGCGATCGTCATGATTGTTGAGTACCGCCACAAAATTGCTGCAACAGTACAGACCTTCAAATTTCACTTCTGTTTGTACTTCCTCGCAGACATTCTTGCTGTGCTCAACTCTCTCAACCGCTTCTTCCAGCACCGCAAGGCAAGTTCCATTTGTACCGGTCGTTATTGTGGTAGAGACCCCAATCAGGAAGCACAAGTTTGGGGGCACGATTGCTGACTGCGAGAAGCTCTGCACGGGGTTCGCGAAGGAAATTGTCGCACGCATGAAGTACCGCATGTGGGACTTGCAGCAGTTGGGCGGCGCTAAGCTGTTTCAAGTTGAATCGTGGCCAAGCAGAGATGACCAGCGCGAATTGAAGACCCTCGAGTGGCTGGCCGCAAACGACGCGCTGTTTGGCGGCATGCTACCAGGTGAGCTGTGAGGTTTCATTTCCTTTCACACGTATTGTCTCGTGCATGTCATCCAACATCGGACAACCACCGCTAACTACTTCCCCCGCCCCAAACCCCTTCTCCGTCAGGATTCGATTTCAAGGCCGCCAAGAAGGAGCTGAGGAGCTTTTGTCACATCATGCCACGCCATCACGCGGGAGAAAATTTTCACCAGGGTCTTCACAGCATGTTGAAGAGCCGGGATTGGCGACGCAGCTATCCGAACCTAATGACACTCTGGCAGGCCCTCGCTGTGCTGCCACTGAGCACAGTGGAGTGTGAGAGAGGGTTCAGTCGCCAGAATATCATAAAGAGCTGGATGCGTACATCGCTGTGCGATGCACGCCTTGGCGACCTGATGACGCTGCACATGCTGAAGTACCCCTACGTCTGGCCAGACGTGGTGGACATCTGGCGCAAGCAGAAAATGCGCAAGCCTGCGAAATCAGTTGCGCCCCCGATACTTGTGGATCGGAAGGGGAAGCAGAAGGCACCAGAGCCAGAGGAGGGAAGTGACCACGATGAACACCCTTGGGCCATGTCTGATGATGAGTAGGATCTGTATTGCGTGCAGCATTAAAATAAAATGACCAGGCTTTACAAAAATGTTACACTGATGCGACAGGGTAAATTTTTAAAAAGTTAACAATACCCTGATGTGAAAGTTTTTCTGTAGGGGGTCACACTGATAATCAGTTTTTTTAGATAGGGGTACACTGATCTTAAGGGTATGTCAAAACCAAAAATTTGCCCTGGCGCGCACGCGTCTTTTACGGCCCAGCCATTTGCATGCAGCAGCGACAAATCAGCTTCAGGCGTCAAGTTTTGCGATGTATTCCCTGACTTCCTCGCTTAGAGGTTGCTTCGCTTGAGGCCAGTACAACCATTCAAATGTACAGTCTTCCAACGTTTCCGGAAGGCAGTATCCGTGATCGATCGGAATCAGCTTCAGATCTGTGCCGTCACGCTTCACCAAGATGTTGGCGCCGTTCCTATCCGCGTTCGCCAACCGCATATCCAAAACCGCGATTTTGTGAACCTCCGAAGCAGCGAACCGAGCCGGGCCCATATCTTCGCAATTGCTCATAGCGGGGACAAACTGCTGCAACGAACCAATCTTCCTTATACCGAGCTCAGCAGAAGACAGGCCGCCTAAGATTGAAACTGGAGAACCCAATGAAGACGCGAAATATTTGACGTCGCAAGTAACCAACGAGGTTCGAGGCACTCCTGCGAAACCCTCCGCATCGCCTTCGCGAAGTGGGTGGTCCAGAAGATACGCTGCGACTTCGCGAAACGCGCCTTCGCCAACGCGAGTTCCACGCTTCAGTCCTTTGCCCGTTAAACTCGGCGGCATACCTCGAGGGCAATTCCAAGCCAACGGCTCCTCATCCATCGGCTTAAAAACCGCAATGTGCGATTCGCCGGTCGCATCGCGAAGCATGTAAGTACCTCCAGAACCGTCCGGGGTAATTTCAGGAGCCTGGCCGGCTAATAATCCCGCGCTGACGTCAGCTAAGGTTCTTTGTACAGCAGCACTCCCTGCAGAGATGGACTGCTGGGCGACTGACTGCACGGTGGTCAACGACGCAGAGATGGACTGGACAATGACCGCCAACGACGGAGTCATGGACTGGACAATGGCCGCCATTTTCGTCGGAAGTTAAGGCCTAGCGGGTAACGATGATGATATGATGCCACGGCCGGCGAAGGGAGGATGGAGGTGGCGGTGGTGCTGTGGAATGGATTGCCTTACAGCGTTTTACAACCAGCTGTGGTGTGCTGAGCTAAGAGACTGGGCACGTTGGTGGTGGGGTGCTGTTGAGGTTTCGCTAGGTGGGTCAGCAGCAGAAGTAGCAGCTAGGGTTTCACACAGCCCCTTCCTGTTTCCATAGCGACCTGTCAGTGTCCAAATTTGATTGTCAAGATTCTGGCAAAAAGAAGCAGCATTCCATTCAACGACAACTGCCAAAAAGCAGAGCAAGTGGGTGGATTTGGAGGTTCCACGGCTGGCCCGAAGCGGGGTCCGAGGCTACGTAGCTGGTCCGGCTTACGAAATGTGGCACGCAATCGGTGGAAAACCCGCCAGAAGTAGCCCTACGACAATTTAAAAGGGTGATCCCAACCCCACCTGACCGAATGGAGGAATAGTTTACAAAAGAGAAGCCTAGTTCCACACCCTAAGAACCCTACATTCTGGCGGTACAGGGTTCTGTTTATGGACCAGCTACAAAAATGTTGGGAATTCTGCACCAAACCGTGTCAGATAATCGGGTTAACCAGCAGAATCGTGGAGGCAAAACTATATTATGTGGGTCAGTAATCAAGTGGGTGGTCGCGCACGTCAGAGACAGTGGCCCTGTTGGATAGGCAGCCATCTCCTTGGAGAGCTAGGGTTAGGCTAGAGCTAAGAGGAGTTTTCGAAGTAACTTCTCCTAGGCTACCCCCCCCCTTACGAAATCGGAAGCAGCGCCTCCCGATGTCGGAAGGAGGGGGTCGTCATGGCGAAGTTGCTAAACCTCCTTCCACCATCTTCATCGTGGGCAGGGTCTATTTTTTTTCATAGGGATGGCATGGGAGCCTGGGTAACTTCAGGGAATAAAAAAGATTGGAGAAGTGGAGAAGTGAGAGTCGTGAGTGGCTGGTGGTTGGTTTGGTTGTGTGAGGAAGGGACTTTTTCAAGGCAGAGATGGGGGAGAGGCGAGAGAATAGGCACTGGTGGGAAAACTTTCGTAGGGTATGGGGTGGGTATTCCCTCCCGTATGGAGCCCTAGCCTAGCCCTTGGCCAACCTCCCTTCTGGGGATTGGAGGACTGGGCTAGAGCTAGGCTAAGGTCTGTGCGGGAGAGAAGGAGCTGGGAGCTTTCGGGGGGGATGAAGTTGAAGGGTTAACATCGCGTTCGACAGGCTAACCCTCAACCCTTCAGGTTGCAGGGCGTTAAAGCCCAGTGATACCAATTTGCGGGCTGACCATGGGAAAAAACCCCAAGTGGAAACAGCCGTGCTGATTCCGCGGAAGGGCTTGCCTGTCTGTCGAACAGGGCCAGTCATTCACACGCAAGTGAAAAACTGGGCAGCACCTGCTTCCAAGAAGGTCCTAGTCTTGGACCTCAATTCGCCCTCGCGACCAATGCTTGAACCTCCCGCTGTACTCGCAACTACACCTACGTAGACTAGTATTATACCATAGGGTGAAATAGCCGGGTACCGTATCAACCAGGGCTCTCGTTATCAGACTAATTTGGTCTGATGGTCTGATTTTCAGACCTTTATTTTTCCTTTCATCTGAACCACAAGACAGTGCTTTTTATTTCGTCTGATCCATAAGAGAAAGGATTTTAGTTAGTCTGAATTATCAGAGCAGGCGTTATACTTCGTCCGAAATTTCAGATAGTGAGTTTCGTTTCATCTGATACCGACAATTCTGCCCACGTAGCCATAGGTTGTCAGTTCTGGCAGGCACCTTTGGTGGCTGTGATTGCACGTGTACGGTAGTAATTTGCGTCGCCTCACTGGCCGAATTTTGTAGTGTACTGTACCAGCACAAAGCCCGCCTCGTACCAGCCCAACCAAGTCCCTTTGGCCTCTACCAGCCCAGCCAAGCCACCATCCCCCCCCCTACCGCCCCCCACGTCCGCCAGCCAAGCGCTACCGTAAGTCCCCCTTGCCTCTACCAGCCTAGCCACCCTACCAACTCCAGCCCAGCACTTCACCCAACTCCCTCGCACTGTCGCAAATCTTCCAGCAAAGTCCTCCCCCCCCCCCCAACTCTCACATACCTTTCCCAGCCCAACCCTTCCCCCACATTGACCGCTCTTACCCTAGTCCAGCCCCACTCCCCTCTCGAGCCCCACGCCTCACAGTCATGTCCACTAACGTGCAGTCTAATGCACCGCTGCTACGTCATCAAGATGCAAGTTGCAACATCAGACGCGGAAAAAATATTCGTCTGAGATTCAGACATGCAATGGAATTTCGTCTGAAAAGAAAGACACGCGAAAATTTCCCGTCCGAACGTCAGACGAAACGGATTTTTGGGTTTAGGTTTTCAGACAGGCCAAAATCCTAGCGAGAGCCCTGGTATCAACAAAAAGAAAGGATCTTGTGAAAGGTTGAATTGAGCACCAGCAGGCTAAAACCAGCCTACAATGTTAGAATTCGGCAAAATTGCTCACTCTCCAACTCTGCTCACATGTTAAGGTGTGGTTGGTAGTACCCTGGTTGAACCATTATTGCACAAATGCACATTATGAACACAACCCATAAAAGTTACAGTATATGCAGAGCCTATGTCGGCCCTGTTGCTGATGGCTTGTCCCTTGACGGAGCATGTAGACCAGTATTGCAGCAATTAATGTCTCTATTTGGCAGTAGACTCAAAGTAGACCTCAAGAATTTCACCCAGACAGTTAATAGCATCCCCCCCTGCTGCTCCACTCAGCGCCTTCTCTTCTGCACGTGCCAGCATGACTTCTAACGCGGATGGAACATCGGGATCGTCGCGAACCATCAGTGATCCAATATCAAAGATTGTTCGATTTGCAGCCGAGCCTTTCTTGAGCAGGAGCGTTGCCGCGCGAAACACGCGTGCGCATGCGCCGTTCACGGCCCACCCGCCCGCCTGTAGAAGCGCCAGGTCAGCTTCGGCATCAAGCTTCGCGATATATTCCCTGACATCCTCGCAAAGAGGCTGCTTCGCTTGAGGCCAGTACAACCACTCGAATGTACAGTCTTCCAACGTCTCCGGAAGGCAATATCCATGGTCGATTGGAATGAGCTTCAAATCTGAGCCGTCGCTTTTCACCAGAATGTTGGCGCCGTTTCTATCCGTATTCGCCAGCCGCATGTCCAGAGTAGCAATCTTGTGAACCTCCGAAGCAGCGAACCGAGCTGGGCCCATATCCTCACAATTGCTTATAGCGGGGACAAAGTGCTGCAGCGAACCAATCTTCCTTGAACCGAACTCAGCAGAAGACAGGCCGCCTAGAATTGAGACTGGAGAGCCCAATGAAGACGCGAAGAATTTGATGTCGCATGTAACCAACGCGGTTCGCGGCACTCCTGCGAAACCCTCTGCATCGCCTTCGCGAAGAGGGTGGTCCAGAAGATACGCTGCGACTTCGCGAAACGCGCCTTCGCCAACGCGAGTTCCACGCTTCAGTCCTTCGCCCGTCTCGCTCGGCGGCATCCCTCGAGGGCAATTCCAGGCCAACGGCTCCTCATCCATCGGCTTAAAAACCGCAATGCGCGATTCGCCGGTAACATCGCGAAGCATGTAAGTGCCGCCAGAACCGTCCGGGGTAATTTCGGGAACCTGACCGGCTAACAATCCCGCGCTGACATCAGCTAAAGCACTTTGTACGGCGGCGCTCTCTGCAGGATTACTACAGCCAAAACCAGTTGACTCGACTATTGAAAAAGTATCGGTCTGAAGGAGAGAGCTGTCGGTACTGGTCCTCGTTGCGAGCCCGCGGCACGGGTGAAGCCGTTGCTGGAACGATTGAATGCACGGCTGGGCGACTGACTGTACGCTGGTCAAGGACGGTGACATGGACTGCACAATGACCGCCATATTTGTTGGAAGTTAAGGATGAGCGGAGACTAAGGGAGGCGGAGATGGTGGTGGTGCTAGGTGTGGACTGAACTTCAGCGTTTCCCACAATTAGCAGCTACGGTGCATTGTTGAGCCAGGAGACTGATTGTTAGGGAGGCGGTGTGACGGGATAAAAGTGGTGCGGTCGGTGGTGCTGTTACAGCTTGAGTGAGGCTTGGCTAGGTGGGCCAGGAGGAGAAGCTGCTTTGGGGTTTCAAACTGGCTGTCTTTCTTCTGGGACGTTTACCCGGATGACCTCGAGTGAAACTGTTTATGAACAGCCCAGTCCTGTCCCACTGCAACCTAAAATGCCGTCCAGGCTGATTTCCACGCAGCTGTGACCAGTTTTGTTGGTTTCAGCCTACGTTCTGGAAATCTTTAGCGAAATTACCAGACTGGACTTCTAGTTGCGTTCTCAGCGTGAAATTCTCACAATCAATTCTCCGTCGATTGGGACAATTGTTCCAAATTGTCTGGTCTCACTGGATAGACATCTGATTCTCGTACGAAATAATACCCTCTATTTAGCAGGGTCTTCCCATCCGCCACCTGGCCAAATGGAAGAGCGTCTCAAGGTGAAAAGGAACCCTGGTAACAAACCGAAAGAAACCCCCATGCGGGTGGTAGGTTTTTCTGTTCATGGGCCAGCTAGCATTCCTTGGAAAGCTGGAACTGCAAAGCGTGTCAATGATTCGTCTGACTGGCAGAACGGTAGGTTCAAAGGTGGAAGCTGTGGGTCAGCAATCAACCGCGTGGTTCTAGATCAATGTGATTGGTGGCATACGTCGAACACCGTCACTCATGTGCATTTCATACGTCGGATGCGGTCACATGCACGTGAAGAATTGAGCGGCAGCACGAAATTCGAACAGATTCGCACAGTTGGCAGTCGAGCTCGAGACGTTCGTAGAACCAGGAGCTTGGCTTCTAAGAAGCCATGCAACTCGGTTTGACCCCATGACAAGGATGGCAGAACTTTGTACAAACACAAGCTAATTGTAGAAAACAGTACATTTGTAAACGACTTATACAAGTGACATACGGTACGTATGACATGGGGTACCAAGCATATATACAATAAAGAACTAAAACATATCTCTAATAAATATTTGGGATTTTTATATGGTTTATTTGGATAAAGGAGGACGTTTCTACAGGTGCATATATTTTTACAGGTGATTCAACATAGGATATAGAGAATATAGATTTAGTACAACCTTTCAATTGAAGGGGACATGCGTTTACTCACTGTCTTTGTGCAGCTGATGCTCTTGTGGGTGCTCGCGCCATCCCACTGACTCTGACAACCGAATTCAAACTTTGGCGGGAGATCCTCGAAGCAACTACTGTCTGGAGCGCGGTTCCAGCCTTTCGCCGTTTTCCCAAAAGAAGCACCCAGCAACACCACACCTTGCCTGCTCCCCCAAGCCAAACCTTTAGCTACATGGGGTCGTTCCTCGCCCTGCTTGCGGCTCAAGGCCCGTCAAACTTGAACCGAACCAGCAATGGCAGTCTCGAGGGGAATTCTCTGTCAGACTTAGGGGAACTCGCAGCAATTTGGCCGACTCGAGCTCAAACACCCTTCTAGCCTGCACATGTGTGTTTGGAATTCTGATTTGGAAGAGCTCAGCAGCACCCTGTCACACACCACGGATGGAACTCATTTCCTGATCACTACTTCGAGTTCCCACGATTTTCCGATTCTAGAATCTGCGTGTTTCTGGTTCGAGTAGGACGCAGGGCTGTCCTTGAAAGCACATTGTGTCTGAAAATAACAACGCGGGACATGTGATAGAAATGCTAGGCTCTATTGGAAATTCAAGCAAGTCAGCGTCCTGGAATATCCCATTATCAGTCAAGGCCCACGACGCAGCGCTAGCCGTGATTCATCGATGAATATGTCACAAAATCGATATTATTGAGCAATAACTCCTCGTTTAGGCGATCAGCAGCAATGACGAATTCCACCAGCAAGCAGATAAGGAAGTCGCCAGTATTGAAACCGCGACCTCTCAGTTCCTCCATCAGCCCTCGGAAGGATTCGCGTGGCGGTGCAGCAAGCCCTAGAAAGGGGATCCTTTCGACTGGCAGTGGAACAAGCTCACGTGGGGAAACGAGGAACGGAGCTGAGAAGGAGAACAGCAACGGCGGGAAGAACGGCGAGCGGAACGGCAGCAGGTCAGCTGCACCAGCAGCATCAGCAGCATCATCAAAAGCTTCCGATCGTCCTTTGAACCGGGGCTCTGCTTTCGCGGGTGGGAACGGGAAGACCCAGCAGCAGACGAACGAGAATCGACGGAACTGTGTGAGCGAAGACCGGGACGGCCGTCGGGAAAACGGACGGAAACAGACTGTAAACCGTCTGGTCGGAGAAGAGGGGAGGCGTGGAGCAAGCGAGGGGGGATGTATTCTTCAGGAGATGAATGGATCAGCCTACGTTCAGCCGTTTCAGGAATCTCAGGTTGTAGAATCTCAAGGAAGCGGAATAGGGATCAACGCAGGGATGGGCTCTGGTACTAGATTTGCCACGGAGCAGGCTGACGTGGCAGGGGTGGATCCGCAGAGGCAGTTATCGCAGCCAGCAGGAGAATCAGGGATGGCTCTTAGCGGGAAAACGGAGGGGATTGCAGCGGGGAGATGTGTCGGCGAAGTGGTGGAGACCGTCGCTGAAGTCGCACGTGCCGTCGCAGGCGATGGTGTTGGCGACATCGCTGATATCCCGGCGACGCCGCCGCCGTCGCATCGACCGCTGAACCTAGCCCCACTGATCGTATGCGAAGACTCGCCGTCGCTTGCGTTCAGCATATCCCCCTCTCTTTCCCTCTCCCCTTCACCCTCGTCCTCTCCCATACTTCCGCACCTCTCCGTAGCACCTCCTGTCCCTAATACCCCACCTAGCCCTCTCGACACGTCAGCTCCTAATCTCAATGAACTCTCTCAACTGAAAGACGCCTCACTGACCGTCCTGAATCCGATGAACCGGACCGTTTCGCCGACACCGCAGACAGAGTGTGCTCTAGACGGTCCGCAACCGCCGCATCTGCCGCCGGAAAACCCGCAGCCAATGGCAGCTTATTCCCGTGCCGATGTTCCTGCCGATGTGAACGCAGCATTCTGCGAAGCTTCGCAAATTCCTCTTCCGGTTGCCCAACAGGTGCCTCTTCAGGTGCCTTCTCAGGTAACGAGCAACCCGGGAGGCGATCCGCATGGAAGCGCTGATTCCGCCGCGGACCCCGCAGCCTCGGCGTCTGCGAATCCAACGGCTAGTTCAGCGGCATGGAATCCAACGGCTAGTTCTGCGCAAAATTCGCCGGCGAATCCAGCGGCGAACCCAGCCCGCCCGCGGATCGTGCGATCCTCCTCCTCCGGCTCCTTCCATCCGCCCGCCTCACTCGGCGACGCGCCTAATAACGCGACCCGTCGGTTCCTGCATGCTGCTACTCCCGGCACCCCCACAGCCTCCAGCGCCGCGGCCAGTCGCCTGTCGCCGCGCCTCGGCTTTAATTTCTTCTCCAGAGGCCACGCCAATGCTTCCCCCTTGCGCTTCCGCGGCCGAAACACGAGCGGAAGCGGCGGCGGCGGCGGTGGTGGCGGTGGCAACGGAGGGGGCGGGGTGGGCTCTAGTTGCGAAGAGTGGGAGGAGATGACGCACGGACGGCCGCCGTCGCCCTTGTCGCCTTCATTCGAGGCGACTCAAAAGCAGTCGCAGGGACGGTCGCCGTCGCCGTGGTCGCGAGGGCTCAGCAGAGTTCGCGGGCTGGTGTCGCCGCGGAGAGGAAGGAGGTACGATGATCCTGCTGCTGCTGCTGCGGGTGGTACTGCTGCGGGTGGTACTGCTGGTGGTGATGAAGGTCGCGGGGTGGAGCAGATGTATCAAAACAAGTCTGCTACTGCGACTGTTCCTGCTGTGGCTGATGCTGCTTCTCCTCCTCCTGCTTCCGCGAATCCGGAGCCTCACCGCCGAGGCTTGGGCTCGCCGAGGCTGCGCTCGTGGCTCGGGTCTCCAGAAGTGCCTATGCTGCCGCTGCGGCGCGGCCTTGGCGTGCGCTGGCACCGAACCTCGTCTGCTTCGGTGGTAACCGCAGCCACCGGCCCCATGCCGGTTACCACCACTACTAGCCAGATCAATACACATAATCCCAGTGCTACTGTTTCCGCTAGTAGCAGCGCTGGCCCATACACAAATTTGACCGTGCCTATTTTTAGTAACCCTGCTATTTCTAGCAGCAGCACCAGTGCGTTCTCCAGTGCGGGCAGCAGGGCGAGAGCTGCTGCGAGTTCGGATGCTGAGTCTGCGAGACTCGTGCGTCCACTGGGGGGAAGGAGGACAGATGAACAGCTTCACCTTGCTCCCGCCTCTGCTACCAGCAAATCTGCGACCCCGTCGGCTTCGGCTGCTTCGTCCTCTCTCGCGGCGGCTGCTGCGGCGGCCATTGCGGAGTACAACGCGCTCGTGGAGCAGAGCGTTGCAGCAGCACCTGACAAAACACCTGAAGAAACGCCTGAGGAAATGCCTGAGGAAACACCTGGAGAGGCAAGGGCGCCCGTGCCTGCGTGCACGACGCACGACGGCGCAACAGGGCCAATTCGTCCGCATCTGCCCCTACCCCAGAAGGTACTAGCACGAACGGTGTCAGACCCTGGGGGTGGTACCCCTGCCAAAACACAGCAAGCCTCTGAAACGGCTGTAGCGGCAGGTGGTGAGGGTGAGGGAGGCACGCGTAATGAGGAAGGTGGGCAGGGTGGGAGTAATGGCGGTGGTGGTGGTAACAGTGGTGGTGGGGGTCGCGGTAGTGGTAATGGTGGGGCGCTGCTGAAGTGGCTGTCGTGGGGTAAGGCGAAGTTAGGCGGAAAGGGAAACTCTAAGCGGCGCAAGGGGAAGGAGGAGCAGCAAGGCAGCAGCGAGGAAGCGAAGGGGCGGGCTGCGGAGGAGATTAATGGGCGGGATCGTGGTAGTGAGGCGAGGGGCGGCGGCGGCGGTGGTGGAGGCGATGCACGGGGAGGGGGGTTTGGATGGGTAGGTTCTGGTAGTGGTGCTGTCGTCGTTGGTGGTGGTGGCGGTGGTGGTGGCAGTGGCGGTGGTGGTGGCGGTGGTGGTGGTGGTGGCGGTGGTGGTGGTACTGGTGATGTTGGTGGTGCTGGTGATGATTCCTTCTCTGCCGCGAACTCTGCTTCAAGAGCTACTTTGGACACGTGGCTGCACGAGACCGAGGTGCATGAGGATGGGAATGACGTGGAGGATGCTGACGTGGAAGGATTAGGTGATGATGAGGTGGAACAGAGGGTTGCTGAATGGGGGGTTGTGCTGGTTGGGGAGGAGGAGGAGGAGGAGGAGGAGGTGGAGGAGGAGGTGGAGAAGGAGAAAAAGGAAGGGGAGGAGAAAGGGAAGGAAGAGAGGGAGGACGATGAGAAAGAGGAGAAAGGGGAGGGAGAAGAAATAGGGGAGGAGGAGGAGGAGGAGGAGGAGCAGGAGGATGAGGAGGAGGAGGAGGATGAGGAGGAGGAGGAGGATGAGGAGGAGGAGGATGGGCATGAAACGGAGATGGAGGATACCACCACCAGGGGTGCAGTCCCGGATAAAGCGGGTGATAGGTGTTACTCTGCCGGCCAAGGTGAAGGGGGAGATGGGGAGAAGGAAGGAGGAGAGAGCGCGAGAGAGAGGGAAGAGGAGGAGGTGGAGGGGAAGGGGGGGAGGAAAGCGGATGGGCGAGGGGTAGATGAGGGGGAGGAGGAGAGTGAGGGAGGGCAGAGAAGTGATGTGGTGGGAATGGGTTCAGAAGGGTTTCACTTTGACGTGACTTGCAATCAGGCGGAGGAGGAGGAGGAGGGGAGTGTTGACGGTGTAACTGCCAGGACTGCTGGAAACGCCTTTGAAACCAAGGCTCTACCAACCAGAGGCTTGATTGGAGAGGAGGAGGGCGAGAAGGGAGAGGAGGAGAAAGAGGAGGAGGAAGAGGAGGAGGAAGAGGAGGAGGAGTTGAGGGAGAGGCAGCAGCAGGAGTGGCAGCGGCAGTGGCAGCTGCAGCAGCGGCGGATAGGCTTAGTGGTGTCAGGCGGAGAGGATACAGAAGGGGGTGATATTAACGGGGGGAGTGGCAACAGAGGGGGAGGCAGCAGAGGCAAAGGGCAGGGAGATACTGCAAAGGGAACAAGACAATCGGCACCCTCATCCCCAGCACGAGACGACTCGTGTGTGTCGTTTGCGCAGTGGGTGCATCTGCGCGGTTCCCCCTCCCGCGGTTCCCCCTCCCGCGCGTCCTCCGCCGCGCACAGCCCCGCGCCTGGGCTCCCCATGCGCGCGTCCGCCGCTGGCGCACGCGCAGCAGCTGCTGCTGCAGCCGCACGCGCAGCAGGCGCTGGCGCGTCTGGCAGGGGAGTGGGCGGAAACGGGGGGCGGAATCGCGCAGGAGGAGCTACAGGAAGCGATTCTATTGGTTGGGAGAGCAGAGGAGGAGGGAGCGTGGGGGGAAGTGAGGAGGAAGGGAGTGTGTTTTTCGAGTCGACTCCAAAATCAGCTGTTTTCTCGGAGAATCAGGAGGAGGGGGTGGGGAGGGAGGGAGAAGAGGAGGCAACGAGTATGCCGGTTGCAGCAGCAGTGGAGGGAACCTCACCACCACGAGCAGTTGCAGCAGCAGCATCAACTGGAGAATCCTCTGCTGCTGCAGCAGCGGCAGCAGTTGCAGCAGCAGCAGCAGCAACAGCCCCAGCAGCAGGAGAATCCTCAGCTGCTGCAGCAGCAGCAGCAGCAGCAGGGGGGACGGCAGCAGCAGGAGGAGCAGCAGCAGCATCGGTGCTGCTGGCGGCACTGAAGCAGACGGCAGCAGAGGAGCAGCGGAAGGGCACGGGCGTGAGCAGCAGTGTGACCTTCCTCCCCCTCCGCGCCTCCTCCCCACTTGCTAGAGCCAAGCAAGCCCACGTGCAGGCGCAGACACTAACGAGGATCCAGGCGGAATCAGTGGTTGAAAAGCTTAGTGCTGTGGTTACCAGCAACCAGAGGGATTGTGGTAACGGTAACCAGATTAGTGGTGGTAACCAGGGTAGTTGTGCTAATCCGTTTGCTGAAATGCCCTCCGTCCCCTTCACAAGCACCAACCCGTTCCTGTGCAGCAGCGACTCGTTTGGAGACGAGCCGGGCAAGGGCAGCAGTGGGGGATACGGTGCTGGCTGCTTTGGCGAAGTGGGAAGCGAAGTTGCTGGTTACCCTGTTATGCTACCGCACATTGACACTCCTGGAATCGTCAACACGAGTCCGTTCGCAGCAGCAGCTGCAGCAGAGGCCGAGGAGGAGCATACGTGGCAGGCGCAACTGGGGCAGGTGCTACCTGGGCAGGTGGTATCTGGGCAGGTCGTATCTGGGCAGGTCATATTTGGGCAGGTCGTATCTGGGCAGGTCGTCTCTGGGCAGGTTTCGGGTGCTAGTGCAAACGTCAGCAGCAAGACTCTACCACCGTCCCTCTGGCCTGCATACCCTGCGTCCCCATCCTCCCCCTCTCCTGTGTCCCGCCCTTCCCAGTCCCCTCCCCCTGTCCCTTCCGCCGCCCCTTCCCCTGCCCCTGCCCCTGCCCCTGCCCCTGCCCCTACAGTTGCCCCTACTCCTGCCCCTCCTTCTACCCCTGCCCTGGCCTTTGTCCCTGCCCCTCCTCCTGCCCCTTGCCCTGCTCCTGCCACTTCCCCCGCCCTCTCCTGTGCTACTGTCACTGCTCCCACTTCTATTGGCGCTTCCTCAGTGGTCAAAATCGCAGTTTCAGCCGATCCTAAGATTCCTGCAGTTGCAGGTGTGGAGAGCGGTGAAGGGAAAGACGAGAGCACTTCAGAGTGGACTCACAGGGAAGGAGAGGGCAGGGCGACGAGTGAGGGGCAGCAGGGGGCGGGCAGTGCAAGGGAAGACGAAAGGACTTTGGAGTCGACTCAAAGGAAAGGAGAGGGCAGGGCGATGAATGAGGGGCAGCAGGGGCCGGGCAGTGCAGGGAAGAAGCGAGTGCGGTTCAGAGCGGTGGGTGCAGAGGGGGATGAGCCAGAGGAGGGTGGAAACCAAGCAAGGGAAGACGATCAGGCCATGGGAGAATCGCCCAGTGGTAACCAGACAGGGGCATGTAACCAGACAAAAGGTGGTAACCAGAAGAGGGCAGGTTCGCCTGGGCGGGTGGGGACTGCACCCCTGGGTCTATCGCAGCGCATATGCTGGGTGCCCGCTTCTAAAACTGCTAATTCAGATCGTGAGTCGCCGGACCAGACACCGAACCAGACACCGGTCTTGGGTCAACGAGTTGGTCCGGAGCAGAGGCGTCCTTATGCTGCTGCGGTGGCTGCCGTGGCCGGGCAGGTTGCTGGTCGTCAAGAGAAGGAAGGGGAGGGAGGGACGGCAGATGGAGAGGTGAGAAATGCCTTCAGCCCAAGTGGCAATAGCAGCAGCGGCGGTGGCAGTGGCGGCGATGGCAGCAGAAGGAGTGACAGCAGTGACAGCAGTGGGGTTCCGAAGCTGCTAGTCCCATGCCCCCCTGTCACCCCTCGAAACAGCTCTCCCCGGAACAAGGCGGCGGGAGGGGCGGCAGCGGGAGCAGCAGCACGGGTAGCAGCAAAGGCAGCTATGGCTGCTAGGGGTATCACTGGTGGTACTGCGGTCAAGAGTGGTACCAGCTGTGTTTCAGTCGAAAGCAGTGGTGGGAAGGAGGAGGCAAGAGGAGGGAAGGGCGATGGTGGTGGTGGTGGGAGTTTGGAGAGAAGCAATAGCAGCAACAGCAAGGGCAGCAGTAGAGGTGGTAACCCTGTTACTCAGACGAATCAGGGCGCGTTTGGAGCTGGAAATCTCGCTAAGGGAGGAACTGACAGTGCTGGTAAGCAATCAAAGGTCTGTCAACTCCCAGGCTCCTACCGTAAGCCTCGCACCGCTCCCAACCCCTTTGAACCCTCCTCCACCCCTTCCCCTTCCGCCAAATCACCCCTTTCTGACAGCCCCTCCCCTGCGCCCAACGCCGCCCCTGGACCCCCTTCCCCCGCCCCTCCCCCCGTCCGCCCGCGCTCCCCCTCCCCCTCCGCCTCCTCCGCCCTCCTTGTGGCGCTTCCCCCCCGAAGGTCCCCAGGGAGGGTGTGGGGGGGGATGGGGAGGAGGGGGTATGAGGTCGGGGGTTTGGAGGTGTGTGGGAGTGATGGGGATGAGGAGGATGGGGGGGGACAGGCAAGGACAGGTGCAGAGGAGTGGGAGAAGGAAGGGAGTGTGATAGGGGAGGGGAGTGTGGTGGGGGAGGGGAGTGTGATGGGAGAAGAGAGTGTTGTTGGCGAGGGGAGGGTTTTTTTGGGAGGGGAGTGTCGTGGAGAAAGAGGAGAGAGTGGATGTGGTGTGTGAAAGGGTGGGAGGAGCGGAGGGAGGAAAATGGAAGGATGAGGTAGGGGGTGGAGGAAAGATGGAAATAGTACCAACCGGGCCTGGAGAGAGAGTGGTGAAAAGTGGGGTGGTTAAGGTGGAGGAGGGAAAATCGAAGGGGAATTTACCTCGAACGCCATCCCCCCCTGCAGGGCCAAAGCCCAGTTCGTGTGGTGGGAGAGGAGGGAGAGGTGGTGCAGTAACCGGTGCCGGAGCAAGAGCAGGAGCAGGAGGAGGAGCAGTGGGAGCCGGAGCAGGAGGAGGAGCAGGAGGAGGAGCAGGAGGAGCAGGAGGAGCAGGAGAAGCAGGGGGGCGGAGTGGGCGGCGAGGGAAAGAGAACAGTGGAGAAGCTACTATGGGCCAAGAAGAGGATTCCAGGCGTGGAGATGGGCTTGGAGAAGAGGACGGGTCTTACAGTGGGAGTGAACTAGAGGGAGGAAGTGCATCAGAGGGAGCAAGTCCTCTAAAGGGAGGGATAGCATTAGGAGGAGCAGTAGAAGGAGGGAGCTCGCCAGGAGGAGGAAGACCCCGTGTTCCTTCCCCTCCCACTGGTCCCCGCCCGAAATCCCCCCTGGGGCAGCTGAACGCACGGAGGAAAGTGGCTCGCTCGCTCACAGTCGCACTCAATAAGAGCATGTCTCTCCCATCGCCTAAGGAGAGTGGCGGCGCCGTTAACAATACTGCCAGCAGCAACATCAACAACGACAACACCAGCTGCAGCACCACTGCTGCCGCTGCCACCAGTTGCGGCACCACTGCCGCTGCCGCCACTAGTTGCAGCAGCATCCGGAGCGACAGCAGCAGGAACTCCCTCCCTGCCTCCACCGCAACCCAGTCAGTCTCGGGTTCAACAGGGAAGCAGCAGTTCAAAGCTCCTCAGAAACAGCCACCGCCCCTAGTGCCACCCCGAAAGCCGGCGCCTCTGAACAGAGGCATAATGGGAAGGCCAGCAGCAGCAGCGTCCGTTGTACCAGTTGCTGCTGGAAAAACATCCACGTCACCCGGGAAATCCACCGAGGTATCTCAGAAATCGCCTGGCGGTACGAAAGCGGCTACGTCGCCCCGGAGGTGTGCCTTCGGGCGGTCGACACCTGTCCCTCCAGTGAGATCAAAGTCTGGCAGTTCTCCTGGCAGGCGGGCTTTGTCCCCTGCCGCGGGTAAGCGGGCGGCATCGTCTGTCTCTGTCTGCTCTGCCAACTCCATTGGCTCGATTGTGTCTCCTCGCCCCTCCTCAGCTGCAGCTGCTGCTAGTGCTTCTACTGGTGCTACTGATGCTGCAAGGAAGGCTGAGAGCGAAGGTGCATTCACGTACAGTATGGTTGACGATGGCCTGGTTACCAGCAGCAGCATCCGAAGCAGCGCAACCACCGCTAGTACCTGCACGACCAGTAAGACGACAACTGAACCCATGGAAAAGGATAGTGCTGATGGTGGTGGAGGTGCAAGGGATTGTAGCAGCGTGGTTGGTCCACCACATAAAGAGGTGGAAGAAAGCAGGGTGAGCAGCAGCACCGGTGGTAGCGACATTCGGATGTAACATCCACCCTATCATCGTGAGTCCCATTATGCAAAGGGTTTTTTTTTTTACTTGATGTTGGTCCTACTATGCCTTTTCTCATGTCTCTTTTGTGCCTATAATAATGCAGGAACGTGGCTCTGACATTCGTTATATTGGATCTTAGCTCTTCCATCTGTAGTGTTCTCGGGCTTGCTAAGCATCTTTTTAGCTTACCCATTTGCACTAGTACCAGTTTAGTTTCATATCTATTGCATAGCTGGCTTGCTAGTAAAGGATATAGATTATATTTCATAGTCGCTACTCTTAATATTTGATGAGTGAGTGCCTTCAGGCGCGTACAACACCAGGTTGCCAACTCGTTATTAGCAAATACGACGTGTCCTAGATATGAATCGGGCCAAGTCCGAATGTTGACGGAAACTGGAACTCAGTCGACATGGCCAGTGCATCAAACGCCCTATCCGTCAGATGTCCGTCAATGTGCCGTGCAAGCGTACTTCTCGCTCAGAACCAATACCGCTCTTGCTGCGGAAGACCTCGTCGGACCGCATTATTATGGCCACTAAGGCTCACAACCTAGCGTTCCTCGAAGACATGGCGGTCTGGTGCGATGCGAGGAACCGAAGACACGCGCCACGACGCAAAAGGGAAGTCCCTCGTCTGTCCAGAATTCTTCCGCAAACCTCGTCAATGCCTCGTCGGAGCGTGCGCAGCTTCTCAGGCTGCCTCGAGATTCCATCATGCGGCGCGGGTTCTCTTCACCACCTTTCCGTCATGACGGAAACAAACACCACAGCGGAATCTTGAGCCCGTGTGTGATTGCGCTACCTCTGGCTTGAATGGTTTCCGTATACAGAAGCATATGAGACTGTTTTGCGCTCACGGGCGTACTCGAGTGCGGAAGCCTGCTCTCATTCAGTAGCCCGCTTGGTACCTCCTCGAGCATAAGTTGAATATTATTCGCTGTTTCGAGCGAACCTTTCTCACCTGGATGACAGTGAGATTCTCGCAACTCTCCGCTAGTCTCTTCCAAGCAGACATTCAAAGAGCTCTTGAGTGAGAAGCTTCTCTGAGAAAAGAGCAGTGCGGTGGCGTCACGACGCAGCAGCATGTCGGACATTCTCGAGGCTCCGCAAAAGTCGTATCTTCGCCGCATCATGTCAAACGCTCCTCCCGGTTCTTGCAGCGAGCTTGCCGTAGAACTCGCGCTCGAGCGGATCTCGAGGGTGCGCGATCTCGTCCGGTGCGCAACAGTCAGCAAAGCCTGGGCTGACGCCGTTGCGCGAAGCGTTCTGCACGTGAGGGTTGACTGCACGAGTGGTGAAATATTCGGGCCTGCCTCCATTTCTGACAGAGGTGACGGCGACGAGGAGTGCAGTAACGAGTCCAAAAGTGATGGGCTTACATACAAGACGTTTCTTCAAGCCATTCGAGTTTTCCGGCAGCTGACGTCACTCACGGTTACCAGCTTCCACCAAGCGTTTGGCGACGCGTTTCTGGAAACCCTAGCCTCTTCCTGCCCTGTTCTCCAAGTCCTGGACCTCTCCTGCATGTGCTATGGTGAAGGCGATGACGAGGTTACCAGCTGGGGGTTGAATTCGCTATTCGTGGGATGTCCCCAGCTGAAACGGCTGTCTCTGCTACTCGGTCACGATGGTAACGTCCGCCACGTCAGCGCTAAGCAGAAGATCTCTAAAGGACCGATGGCTGCTTGTAGTCCGTCTGCGTGGAGCCGACGTGGCCATGCTGACGTGGCGTGGAGCGAGTCCGCGCTCACTGTTCCCTCATCGATAATGCAGCTGCCTTCTTTGGAAGCTCTGGAGATTCAAACGGACAGATGCGTGGTCTTGGGATTGGATCTTCATTACCACGATCAATCCAGTGGAAGATTTCGGCAGTGTGATTCAACCACAGCCATCATAATTGAGCATCTCAGCATAGGCTGTCCTTCAGATGCATCACCACACTGTCGACCTTTCCTGCCATCCGCAATCACTCAGCTGCAGCTGTCGTCATCACATCACATCATCCTTCCAGACATCTCCTGTGGTCAGCTCAATGATCGTTCCAACCGTCGGTGCAATTCTCACTGCAATTATCACTCCGGCTTTCCAGACCAGGCTCAGGCTGCCGCTATTGGTTCAGCCTCCCCCACCAATCCCCACCCTACCGCAACCATCTGGTGGCCTCGACTCAAATCCGTGAAGCTCAGCGTTTGCTGTGACGTCATGTTTTCCAAACTAGCATCGCTCTTCCATCAGGAGCTGACGTCACTGAGCCTGTCAGCCAATCGTGCAACCATGTGTGACATTTGGAGCCACGCTAGTGGTTCTGCTACTCCCAGCGTTGCTTCAGCTGAAAGATCCGATGGATTTGGTGCTATTGGGGCGGCGAGCTGCAAGTTTGGCTCCCTGGAGCAGCCTTGCAGCAGTCCGGTGCTTCCAACCAGATTCAGCATTACAAGATTCCGAATCTCTCAAACAGAGGCAGACACAGAGCCACTTGTTTCCATGCACCCTGCTCCCACATTCTTCTTTCCTGCAGCCCTCACCTCCTCGTATTCGCGTCTCCGTTCACTGCACCTGGACCAATGCCCTGACACTGCTCTCCCTCCCTCCCTCCTCCCCTCTCTCACACGCCTTACTGCCCTCTCCTTCACCTATTGTCGCCATCTGAAGGCCCTGCCGCCAACCATCAGTCTCCTCTCGTGCCTCACATCCCTTCACATGCATGCTTGTATTGCTGTGAAATCCCTCCCCCCTGAAGCCCTCTGTCTGCCTGGACTCAGGTCCCTGAGTCTCACCAACTGCAGGAGATTAGAAAGTGTGGGCAAAGCCGCAGTGAACGCTGGTAACGTGGGAACAACCGGTGGTGGCAGTGGTGATGATCGCTGCGACGGCCCTATTGCGATACAGGAGTTGGTTTTACGGGAGTGTGTTGGGTTGCGTCATGTCAACTGGGAGACTTTATTGTGGAAGACGGTGCAGGTCTCACCAAACGTGGCTATTGAGGTGAATGTTGAAGGGAGCCGCGAGTTGAGGGGCATGGATAATATCATGCGCATAATGGGGAGCTCCAGTGGTAGCATCACTCTTCCAGATGGAGCCAAGTGGTATTCCCAGAGGAGAACAATGTGCGGAGGCCAATCTCCTCCAGAGATAGCGGGTGGTATGGATAGATGCATCGTAATTCAAACATAGCAAATGATAAAAGAAAGGCAATTATCTACTGCATTGAATCCAGAACTACACGTCTCTATGAGAGCTGGTGCAACCACCTGAGAAGAAACTCTGCATTTGACAAGTCCCTCTCCTAAAAAGTATTGCTTTTGCTGGTCGATCCCCTCTCGAAAAGAACTACTGGAGGATATAGCGAAGCGATCCAAGCGAGTGCATGTACGCCACGTGGCGTATACAGCAACCATTAGCAGCCATCCAGCTCCATTCACTGCCTTCGTGACAAGGAAACTGGAATCTGACATGTCTCCCTGGTCTTAAGACTGATACGACACGGTATTCCACGGTCTTCGGCGGTTTACGGCCGTTCGACGTTTGACCGTGCTAAACCGTGAGGGAACAGACTGAACCGACTTGAACGATATACAAGTCACACACACATTCCGAGCTGGATTATGATTCGAGCCGCTCCGTTCTAGGCGCAAACTTCAATGTGAAACATAATAGCCAGTCGACATCCTCCTCCTCGCTGTCCCTTCAGTAGATGCGTGCCGCTTAGTATGTACTAGTAGCTTGCCGTTCCGCTGGTTGTTAGTGTGTCTATCGCCTAGATTCCGTCGCCATGAAGGCACTCACCGCGTCACTGCCCCGCCTAACGAGGCGCGCTGTAACGAGTGATATCTTTACGAGCAGCGCGGATTTTGGCTCGTTGGACCTGTATCCTCTGCTCCTGTCC